AAGCTCAGCCGCCCGAGCTGCACCTCGGCCCCCAGCCGCCCGAGCTGGTGCCCCTCACATACCACGGCGTAAGACGCCTGACTCCTTATAACTCCAGTATAAAATCCAAATAAATGGGCTCTCTTCATCAGAGATGTGTCCTCTTAAATGGAACCTGTCAGATGGGATGTTACCCGTCACAGAGGAGACTCCCATTTAGCACTGGGGTCTGCCATTGCTCGACTCCTGAAGCCACGCTGGATCCATGTCAGGGACAGATCAGAGCGGACGTCTGTTACAGACCCAGTGTCGCTTCGCAGGAGTGAGTCTTCAAACGTGACCAGCAGCAAAAAGTCTGACAGGTCCACTTTAAGGTGCCAGTCCGGTCCATATAAACATTCCAGTTTCACACAGACGCAGGCTGATGGTTTCACCTACCAGCTTCTCACACCTGTCTTCAGAGGGACCTGTGTACAAGAGCCCTGCCTTCTAGATTCTGAAGGCTGCAACAGGAGGAGTGAGACTGCATGACACAGTGCTCTGGTCTGGGAAGTCAAACAAGCAATCTCACAGGTGGGGCCCCGAGAAGATCCAAGATGCCACCCAGGGAAAGACTCCAGCAGTGTGCACCCTCAATTCCATGGTGTCACCCTTTCATTGCCCCCTTATGCCCCAGGCTGGGCTTCCCTCTTACCCCGTGTCCTCAGGGTTGCCTCCCGGTCACTTCCAGCCTCCCTCAGGCAGACCAGTAACAAGATAAGTAGTGTGGCCCCTGAGCTGGGCTCCGGGGGGGGGCCCCTATTCCTCTCAGGCCCGGTCAGCGCTCCCCCTCCACCCCCCGCATCCAGCTGGGAGCCGGAGGGCAGCGCTCCCTCTCTCACCCGCTCCCCGGGGCTCCACACGACACCCCTCGGCGGCTCCCCCGGCCGCTTCCAGCTCCCTGGCTCCTCAGGAAAAAGATGGGAGTTTTCCAACTGCGCATGTCCGGGCCAGGCCGGGGGAAGGGGGAGGGAGGGGACCCAGAGCGCACCGCGGCCTGGAGATTCCCGGAAGTGACGGAGCCCGGAACGGGTCGTCTTGTGTCTCCATGGTGACGGCTCTGGAGGCGGGGATGGAGGGGTCACGTGGTGGAAAGTGGTAAAGAGCGCGAGATACGCACGCAGGGCTCTCCCGGGGGGACAAGGTGAGAGCCGGGCACTGAGTGACCAGACATTGTACCCACCGTGCACACACACCCCCATATGTGTGCTGCTGTTACTGTCCCCCGAAAATGCTTTTCCCTGGCTTGAGTTTGAGAGGGACAAGCATACTGCCAGTCCAGTCACATGTTGTTATGTTCATATTTGTTTGGGGTCAGTAAGAACATTAAAGCAGCTTATGACTTTGCAGGGCAGCCAGGCAACTAACTTGAGAGTTCACCAATGGCAGCCTCTGTTCTCTCAGTACAGATGTCCATTAAAGAAGGACTCCGGTCCATGCCCTTTGCTTGACACGCTTTGCATCATCTGCACATGGTAGTGTTGTTGTTGACTTTTGTCTTTTTCACTTGCAGCAGATTAATCCTTCATGTCATGAGTAAACGGAAAAGCAAGGACAAGAGTCTCCCTGTAGGAGAATGTATTTCTCAGGTATTATCCTCAGTCATTACATTTTGGGTGTAGGAATTGCCCGGGGAAAGGGATGAGCTACTTATTTTAATTTGTACATTTATTATTATTTTGCTTTGGAGCCAGGAAAGCATTGCAACCGTGATCAGTGGATGCTCTGCCTCCCATTCATGTCCGTACTGACATGCAGTAATATGGATGGGAGGAAGTGTCAATGGACTACAAGTGAGGTGACTTCACTGCACTTGTATCCCATTGAGAACTAGAACTCCCTCAGGTGCAGTGGCTGACGAGAATTGACATTTTTTCATTGGGAGATCCGGTCAAAGGATATGCTAATGGATGATGTGGGCGGACACATTAAAAAAGATAAACAAGCCTGTGGGGAGAAGAACCCCACGATTCAGCAAAGGGGGTTGCGATGTAACCCTGTTTCATGGTACACTCTAAATATGTGCATATAACCTATGACATGGTCAGAAAGGTAAACTAAGCCTTTAAAGTAACACTAAACTCAGGAATTAAATCTTAAAAATACATTCAAGTACCTTAACTATTAACAAAAATGTATCTTGTTTGTGTATCACTCGGCTGTAGATCCTCAAATCATCTCTGAATTGGTGCTGACACCGTCCTTCCCTCTGGTGGGTGACTACTTTTGTTCCCCATGGTCCCTGTGTGTGTTGTGAAGTAGCCACCATTCCAAGCTCACTACTGTGATGGACTACAATCTTGCATTTAGTTTACTAATTTGTATTGTGATATCACATTTGGCCTAACAAGCCCCCTATGTGATGGCACAGACGCAGTGACGGTCTCTTTTTATTTAGACATCAGGGGTCTATTAGACCCCTAATGTCACCTGTGGCCCAGATCTTGCTTCATCAGCTTTACCTCTGGCTACAGCAGCTGGGCTGCTGTGGCCAGAGGAGAAGACAGGCTGAAACTGGAAGTGATGAAATTCTTGCAGTATCAGTATTATTCCCGCAGAATGATGTGTCTGAAACACATTATCAGGTGTCCTATTCGATGGATGTTTGCATGATTTACATGTATTAATTCAAACATATGTTCTCTATATTTGACTAGTCTTTGCTTCTACAGGTACAGGCTCATCTGCGACTGAGGCTGCTTCAAGTAGCACACCCTGGCAAGAGATGTGGGGTGGAATCTCAGCACAAGTAAGTTCTCTACACCGTATAATCTAAGCCAGTGGTTCTCAACCTGTGTAACCTCAGGACCCACATTTGTCCTTGGTCAATAAGTCATGACCCAAGTCGCACCGCATTGGAACGCACGGCATTGCGGTACCACGCATTGCGGTGCGGGCAATCAAACTGTGGGCAGGAGGTGCGTTTAGGGTGCTATTCAAATGAATGGCAATGCAGCACAACTCCTCACCAGAATTTGTGGTAGGTGCGATTTTGCATGGTACAATGTGGTAATCGCACTGGACTGTGCAATTAACACTCTGTACTAGTGTGAATGGGCACTCAAAAACACTGTCAGACACACACAACCACAGACACAATCTCACACACTCAGGCATTCTCACACACACATACACACTCCAAAAAAAAAAGTTTTATTTTTTTAAGATCCACTCAGTCTCCCTATGTTATCAAGAGCTGGGGTGGATCCTCAGGTCCAGTGGGGGCTGCTGGGCTGTGACAGAGCTTCATCCATATTGCCATGGTTCCAGGTTCCCCAGAAGAGCAGGGGACCTCAAAAACCATGGCGGGTGGTGGTGTACAATGCCCATCAGTGTACCCTGTCATAATACACACACAGACCCCCCAGCTTCTGCACTGACAGGAGACAATATGACAGGGGACACTGATGGGTATTATGTGGGCTTAGAATACATAATGTCCATCAGCGTCCCCTGTCATTGCAGAAGAAGGGGGTGAGGGTCTGTAGGGGGGCATTTGCAGGGGCTCTGTTGCAAGTAGAAAACCCCCCTCCTCCCCAGCTTTTGCACTGACAGGTGACATTTATGTATTGCAAGCCTAGTCTGTTGTAGTAACATTCATTTGTTTTTTTATTACTATTACAAATGCTAATCCAGCAAACTATACACATCCCCCTGCCTGCCTGCCTACCTTTCTCAGCTTCCAGGCCGACTGATCCTATTTGATATCAATCCGCCGCGCTGGGGTGGCTTGATATCTGTAAAATAAATAGTCTGCGCTTCTGGAAAAATGGCTAGGATAAATATATAGTAGTAATTAAAACCTAAAGCAGCTATGAAAAAAGGATGAAAAATCCTTTTAAGTGATCAAAAAAATATATCGAAGCGCTAGAGGTGTGGGTTGTATAGAACTCGGTGCAACCAAGTATACAAGTGAATATATAATACAGTGAAAATAAAGGGTTAAATGATTTGGCCTATACTCGATAACTAAACAAATCAAAAGAAATCCTGCATGTAATATTGGAAAAAGGAGGAACTAAATAACTCAATTGTGTCAAAGGAACTGTGAAAAACAAGACAGCGTTGACGCAACAAAGAAAATTAGCCACTATGTGAAAGTCTATTAACTAGTGATGGTATCAAATGTAATAAATTGTTGCATTAAATCATCAAAAAAAGTGTTTAAAAAAACATGCTGACCTATCAAAAGGTCTATAACCGATATGTAACAATATGTAGGCGATCCACACAAAAATCACCCTTACAATAAAAAAATAAATTAAATCACCGGAGTGCAGTGTTCAGTGGGAGGTAAAAAAAAGCCATAGGAAACGTATACAGGAAAAAAATGTTGATGGTATATTTCAGTGGTAGTCCAACAACCCCTCTTAGGTGGGTACTCACCAAATGGAGTTAGTAGAAGGCTTTTGGTTAGTGGCACTTAGGCTTACGGTCACGCTTTTATTTTGGACCCGGTTGTTTCCACTCTGAGACCCAGCAGGGTGAGTGTTTGATCTTCTCCCTTGCAGCGCTGACTGTGTCCCAGAAGCGCAAAGATGGATTTTCTCAGATATGGTGTTAGCGAAACTTCTCGCCGTGGTCCCACGATATTTTAGGAATAAAAAAAGGAGAGAGCCCTCATGGTGTAGTAATTAAAAATGTACAAATTTATTAAAAGTAGTAACTTACACAGGCAGTATAAAAAGTCCGGCCGGCACAGGCAGCTCAGGAACAGTTTAAAAAACTTGCGTGCAAAAAAAGTATCTACCCTCTTTGACGCGTTTCGTCATGTGACTTTTTGAAAAAGTCACATGACAAAACGCCTTCTTCACACCAATGTACAAGGGTTTGGCTCGTGTTCTTCATGTTCTTGCTGACATCTGATGCATTAGGTTGTATTTAGCCAAATTGCTTAACACCAACTAGGGCGAGAAAAGTCATCTTTTTTTTTTTTCTGCTGTCATTTGTGCCACAAATATTGCCTTAAAATCTGGTCCTTTCTAAATGCTGCAGGCCCACTGACTTCTAGGGACCTCTCTGGAAAAGCATGTGACACTGATTATGAAATAGAAAAATGACCAAAGCCACATAGGAGATGATGTGCTACTGGGACCTATCCTGTATGGTCTTAGTTTGAGGTACACCCTTCCTTAGAAAGTCATTGATGTGGACTAGGCTTGGCCAATCAGTACTGCGTGTATGCTGCCTTTTTTGGATTGGCCTTAAAGAGAATTATGAGGTGAGTGACTCTCACTCAGCCTCATAATCTGAGCCGACCTGTGACAATGAAACTGTCACCGGTCTGCTCAGTAGATCGGGAAGTGAGCGAACACATACCAGCGCTCGCTCACTTTTCCCCTCCCCTGTCCGATTCTCCAGCGCTGACTGGCAGAACGGACGGGGGCGGGTACAGCCTCTAGATAGGCAGAGCAGCTGGGTGGATCCAGACATAATTGTCGGGATCGGTTCCGGCTGCGGCGTCTCAGTATAACGCGAGCTGTAGCTCGCGGTATACTGAGCTTAGGGTGACAGGAGGACGCTAGTTTGTGTCCTCCCGTTACCCTTAGGAGAACTATGGGGAAAAGCCCTAACCCCATAGTTCTCCTTTAACCCCCCAGAATGATATATTTCATAAAGCAGAGACCCTGTAAAATGGTGGTAGTTGCAATTTGTGATGTGTCAAAATATTAATACACCTGTTTAGCAAACCCCCCCCCTGTCCGATCCTCCAGCGCTGACTGGCGGAACAGACGGGGGAGCGGCGGGTACAGCTGACTCTGCCTCTAGATAGGCTGAGCCAGCTGTCACTCACGCAGCTGGGTGCGGCTGCGGCGTCTCAGTATACCGCGAGCTGGAGCTTACTGAGCTTAGGGTGACAGGATGACGCTAGTTTGTATCCCCCCATTACCCTTAGGAGAACTATGGGGGAAAAGCCCTAACACCATAGTTCTCCTTTAAATGGGCCATAGCAATTCTTTAGAGTTTCTGCTGGAAGCAAACTGAAAATTTAGTTGGGTTGAAATAAAAGGCACATGTCTATTTAATTTTAAACAATAGAGAAAAATCTATGAATAAATAGAAAACCTCCATACACGGAACCCTATACCCACAATTACCCACAGAGGAAGACAGACAAACCTTTATAAAGCATGGTCCAACTTGCTCCAACAGGAGAAAAAATATTCCCAGGATCAACAATCTG